ATTTCCGTAAGCTCAATGGCGCTTTAAATCAAATGTATATAAGTATGAAAACGATGTAAATAAAACGATATTCATATGACTAGCCTGATTATCTACAGAGAAGATGTTAGGGAGACATATATTGGGCGTTGTTCAAAGATTATAAAAAAAGGAAGTTAGACTATAAAGCTGCTTGTGAATCAAATTTATCGTAGTTTTATAAGTCATCCATAATCGATGAAAAAGAGAAAAGAAGTGATGATTATGAGAGTAACACTTACAAAACCTTTAATCTTATCGTATAGAAATACTACATGAAAGCTGTGATAAATTATATTGATGGATTTCACGAAAACACTTCACTTACTTGAAGTTTTGAACAGCGAACAAGAAGACAGTCAAACCAACAACACCGTCCTTCTTTTTAAAGCTGCGTCATCTCTTCATCGGTGACAATTCGAAAATAGCGAGATTTTGTTATTGAAGCTATGATTGGTTCCGAAGTTTATCGATGTTGAAGAACGTGAGTCGCTTATCCCTGATTGGCTCCAAAGTTTATTGATTGATTGGTTCCGAAGGTTATCCATTCAGTAATTCGGGCTTCCTGTGGTGTTACGGACGTACTTTGACGGACTTACTTACGAGCTTAGTAAATGTAAAATTAATTGATTTGTGTTTTGGAGTGCACATAGTTATTGAATAAATAAATACATGTACAATGGCATGTAGGTTATCTGACAACTACGTGTATGCTTGAATCAGGTTGTGCTGATTGAATCAAGACTATACCATCGACTTCAGTAGATTTGACTTCCAAGAAGATGCACGATAAACAATGTGTGTTATGAAACTAGTCTTGTGTTTGAATTTTGTACGTAATAAATCTATTTATTTAACCATGGTAGGATTTAATAGACTTTTCTGATGAAATATTACACACGAAACATTCGTTTTCGCCAACGACAATTTTTTGACTTATTCCTGTTTAAGCTAACAAGATATATTTCTTACGACAAGCGCATTGTTTATATTATATTTTCTCTTCACTCGAATTCCTCAAATGTGTGTAATAATTCGCAAAGTTTTCTAACAGAGTCTTTGATAGGATAGTTGAGCTTTAATTGYATTACGTCATTTCTTGCATATTGGAAATTAATTAGCAGCTTGGTTTAGCTCTGGTTCAGCAGACTCTAGTTTTGGGCGAGATCACCGAGCGTAAAAAAATCGAGTCTGCAAAGCAAGCTAGGAAACTGTAAACAGTCAAGCAATTCTGAGAGAAATCCTGAGCAAAGATTAGTCCGTCTTAAACTGTTTAAATGACGCTTTCTGACTGACTCAGCAAAATGTAATTCGATCTCTTTTATAAAGAGTTTGCTTGCCGACAGACCATTCTCGAAGGCTCTGGTAACACACAAACCGGAAAATCCAGATTCTAGGTGGTCAGATATGCGCATKCTCCACRGATTCTGACTTCCGGTATAAATYAAAACTGTCTTTATTTTTTCTTCAAAAGAAAAACAATCAAGCTTATTTATACATTGTTTATGGAACAGTTTATTTGCCTGTGATTAAAATTCCGAAAAATAAGCAATTTAGCAGTCCTAGATGTGTACGGTAAAGTATTCTAATTTCAACCGTTGACTGTAAAATCAGCAAACCGGAAACAGGTGATTATGGAAAAAGATTAAACCAATCGATTTGTGTGTTGCCAGAGCCTTCGATTTTTCGTTAGAAAGCTGAGAAGGCTTTGGGTACGAGAATGGCCGACAGACCTACCATCCGGAATGGAGTTGGATGGACTCGGGACTCCTGGAATTTGGATATTTTAAAACTTTTATGTCCATAATGATTTTCAATGTACATTAGTCGCTCTGTCGCTATCTTTCGGGTAATTCATTTTTACTTTGCCTTTAGAATCTTACCGGTAAAGACTCAAGCCATCCTCAGGCCCAAACGTTACAATGCTCGATACTGTGCAGCCTTAGTGTCTATTTCTATACAAAAATACGTTCAGTTTAGCTTAAAAGTACATTTATTTCTGCTATTTGAGTTTTAGTTATGGAGATATTTGAGAACAAAATCCAGAATTTCACTTCCAGAGATGGTGAATACCAACCCCACCCCTCCCCACTAAATCAGGTCCTGCAAGATGACAAATGCTTTGACTTTATCTCCAAGTTAGCAACGACGAAAATCAGCTAGTTAAATTTTTATTTTATGTCGGATTATCTCATATATGCATGCAATATACGCTTCTGTATTTCCTATTCACAAAATAGGAACTATTTGCAGAGTCCTAACAGGGTTTTCATTTAGTTTTGAAATAATAGAAGAAGATTATAGTCAGTTTAAGCCGGAGAATTTATCCCCGGTTGTCGGAGAATTTTGCTCCGGTTGTCGGAGCATATTTCAGACTCGACTGAATGGCAAACATAAAAGTATTACCGAGTTCTGATTACACCTGCTAATTCGCTATGCTCAACGTTCAGCCTCAAAGTCATCCTTAATATTCCAATTCAGGTTATTAATTGTTAAATATTGAATCTGTGTAGACTGAGCAATATTTTCACACCTCGAAACCTTTAAACAACTTGTTGTGTTTTATCGTATCATTTTAAAAACAAATAATATCTATACATATTAAAAGATAAATATCGCACTAAAATCTGCTCTTATCTAATTAGGGATAGACAGAATATTGAAGTAAGGT